ACCGATAAATAATTTTAAATTCATAAAACCTCCGATTTTAGGTATTAAAAGATTTCTATGTGAAAGAAAAAAAAAATTAAAAACTAAAGTTTATCTAACTATAAATACCACAGATATCTCTATACTTTGGTGGAAATCTGAAAACATGCTAGAAGCTTAAAACACAATATATCTTTTACAGGAGGCACAAAATAGATTAAGATACTCACAAAGAGAAATATTGTTAAGGTTCATACGTATTTTTTTTTATTTTTTAAGATATATTAGAGGATAAGGAATTCAAAAGACTTTTGTGAAGGAATTTTTTTTTTCTAGTAAATCTATAGAGGATGTGAGAAAATATGAAAAAAAAATTAAAGTTTATATAACTGGATATACAGAAAAAAATTGAGCTTGAGACTAAATTATCTAAAGTTAAGAAAACTTACAGTTTGCTCTCAAATGGTGAAAAATTTGACCTTTTCCTTTTGGTATTAAGGTGCTATTCACCATGGTATGTAATTTCAAATGATACCGTCTGGTACGAGCGATACGTACCGATCCGACGATATACCGATACGTGGATCGCTCGTTACCGGACGGAACGTGCTACAGTGCTACCGCTCGATACGTCCTGGTGTACCACTCAGTACACGATACCATACCGTACCAAGCCAACCTCGAAACATCGATACAATACGGTATTGCATACCTTGCTATTCACCTACACAAATGAAGTTATATACCATTTAACCAACAAAAAGAATAAAAATTTCAACAAGGCAAACTAGTGCTAAGATGAGCGATGCTGATAAATTTGTGATTGCGTGTAGGACAATGGTTTGGCAGATGCTGGAATCATCAACTTTGTTCAAGATAAAAAGAACACTGTAGCATTATCTCAAACTTTCCTGAACTCTATACGACAAGAAAAGAATAATAAAGACAAGTATGGTTGTATGTGAGTGGAAGAGAAGTATCCCTTGGCCGAATTGGTCAGTTCTACTAAAGAATTCACGTTAGAATGGAGAACAGCAACTCAAAAACTGAAAGAAAAGGTAATGGAACGCAGAGTCAGCCACGGCTATAGTTAAGAGGCAAAGCCGAGAAAAACAGGCACTAGAGGACTCTGCAAGTAAAAGGTAATCACTGCAAAATTGATATCATCCATACACAGTTGCACAAGATTGAAATATGAATCAGATTCTGCACAAGGACCAACCGGAGATAAATCCAGGAGTAAGAATGCAAGATTCTTAAAAAGAAGAAAAAGGATGCTGATGACTCAGATGCCAAAGAAAATAGACCACAAACAGATCAATCAAGAGAGTAAGAGAATTCTATCACATTTGGTGCATTTTTCTCGTTGTAATCAACAAGGCTATCTTAATCTGGAAGTAATTGACCACGTAGGAACCAAAGAATGAAACTAAAAGGCGAAGCTTAAACTCTTTGATGGCCTTTACACCTTCTGCGCTGTGCATTGAACAAGCAGAAGAAGAGTTGAGGAAGGAACCGATATCCATGCTGATGATTCCTCCTTCCACCATCTTTCATTTATTCCTTTACCGCTGTTTTGAGAACTGAAAGCAAGGTGGAAAAAGGGGAAGGTGGCTACCATTGGTTCTTGGTTGAGAGATAACATGATTTAAAACTTCTGATAAATTTGGAAACCTAAATCGTTCAAATTATTAGCATTTTTATTAAAAATAACACACATTCGCTTGCTTTGTATTAGCTTTTAAACATTCTCTTTTGACTAGACTCTTGACTTGGATCTTTCTCAAGGGAATATTTTTTTCTATGCTCCAAATCAAGAATTGGGACAATTTATAGCACAGCGCAACTATAAAAAATTGTCACTTTTTTTTCCATATATCTCAGGTGATCTAGCGGTTGAATCTTATTTTCATATTCTAATTGTTGACCTTTTTTAGCAATACTTTGTATCACACTTTAGGCCCATATTAATAAATATATATCCATTTTCTACCTTTGTACTTGCCATTTATGGATCTCTAAGCTATCTATGGTTCCCACTTTAGAAAACCACAAGTAGAAGGCTCATCCCTTATAGGACTGCCATAAGTCATAACAAAATTACAAATATGGTTCAATCCTAATCCCTTTTCTTTTACTGTAGCGCAGCACATCCAGTGCTCAGAGTTCAACATGAAATGTTGCTTGTAGAATAAACTACAGAAATTTCTTGTTACTGTAGTCTGATACACACAAGCTAAAGTTGCTTTTGCATCAGGGTACGTTCTGGCAATAACTTTACATCGCCAAAGTTGTGTAGCATAGCTACTCTGATGCTATACATAATTATGATACTACCAGCTCATATATGTAAGGCAAAAATAATGTAGGTTTCAACTTATAAGACATACATCAGGTGGCATAACAGCATTAAGGAAAAATATTGCTGCAGACTCTAGCCAGTGGAAGAGTTTAAATGACAATTGACTCAATGCATCAAGGTTTCTCTATTTTATGCTACTAACAACATTGACAGATAGATGTCAACAAATAAATGGCAAACAGGTGAACCCAAATAATAGAGTTTATATGTTACCCGCAAAAAAGAACATAACATGTTTAAAACATGGCAGATTGATAATGTGCAGTGTCGAACAAACTTTAAAAATTCAGGTAAAAGTAATTAAAAAAATCTACACTGCAAGAAGAAACAAGCAGGTGGACATAATTTCAAATAACATTGGAAACCAAACTTTTTTTGTCCCTCAAATGGGTGTTGGACTCCTGGTATACAATTTGCAGTAGATATCCATGTGAAATAAGTGCAAGATTGATATCCCAAAAGATAAAAGCTTTGAAGTAATGCACGAAAAGTTATCAAATAATTAAATGAAGCTTCTTAAGCAGTATCACCATATTCATCCATGAGGTCAAAGTGGAAGCATCTAACTAAGGCAACTATAGGAATTTGTCTCTAAACATATAAGAACATCTTTTGGAGTTACAACATTAATTCACATGTAAGAGCTGAACAACAAAATAAGGGAAATAGATAGTTAACTGGGAGAAAGAATCCTCGTCTTGGGGAAGGACTCACAGAGATCGTGTTAAGCAGGCCTTTACTCCAGGTAAAAGAAGTTGGGACCCTGCCATGGCTCAGTGATTCTCCAACAAAAACTGGACGGCTTCAGATGTTCTATTTTATAAACAAAGGCCCATAGAAGATATGTTGCAAGAGATGATATATGGTTCCAATCCAGCCTATAGCACTCAGTCCATGGAATTGATGCCTTTACACAATCGCCAGATTCATAAAGTTCATCGATGAGTGTATTATATGTGACCAAGGTTTGCATAATGTTGCTTCATTTCATCTCAGAATGAATGTGGCAAGCTTCTTCCACTGATCCATGAGAACAAAGACCATGGATGATAATCCTGTGAATAATGGCATCAGCTCCTTGTCCCGCATGGGAACCTCCTCTGCAAATGTCAAGAGCAACATCAAGATTCTTAACTCAACAAAGACCACTAATTAACAAACTTTATGTCACCACATCGGTCTGAACCCTACACAAAGCTACAAACAACAGGCTGGGATTTCTTATGTCACAATGATAGGACTGCAGATACTGCTGGCTATCTAATTGAAAAACCAGATCCCCTCTTTGGACACTCTGCAGAAGTCACTTATCAGGGCAATGTAAGTGTGAGAGGTAACAAGTGCAAATAGCTTCATCAATTCTTATCTTTGCAGTCCATCTATCATCCATGTACACCAAAGACTTCCAAGTTTTCTCATTGCCTTCTTGTGACTTCTCTAATACCTGGAATGCCTTGCTAATGTACCCTTCTCACATAATCCATGTATCGAAACATAGGAAATCACTGAATCTGGATGCAATCTCTTATCTTGCTGTTGCAAGTGTTCTCCAACGATGATAGTTTCTTCTGGCCTTACATTCCATAAGAAGCCTCTAACAGTATGTTATAACTGACAATGCCATGATTCCTTGTTCTTCCCATTCATTCCCACAACTTCAAAGACTCCTGCTGCGCTGCAGAAGCCATCACGCAGGATGACAGTGTCAAGAATCAACCCTGTCTTCATCATCTCCGTGTACACTTGTGATGCCCCATCCACATTCTCCACAAAAACCAATAGTCAAATACTAACTAGTAGAACGCGTCAGGATGGCAGTTGCTCCGCACCACTCCAAATCTCCATCACCTCTTGCAGACCCATTCTTTTGTCGCACATTTTATCGAATACCTCGAGCGCTTTCTTCGTATCTATGTTTTCAATCAACACGCACATAACGGTGCCGCGAGTGATGCGGTCGGCCTTCCATGCCGCCAGATCGGATCGTTTGTAGGAGCTCTATCGCACGATCAAACTGCTCTCGAGCACAGACGCCTGGGACGAGGATGACGCAACTATGGAGGTCGGGGAGGGCGCGGGCGTCGGCGAGAAGAAAACGAAGGACTAGACCTGGTCCTTGCGCGGCCGGTGGACGAAGGCATCGGGGAGGACGCTACGAGAGCGGGCGTCGATGCGTGGATGGTTGCTAGGGCTTCGTCGAGCGTAGGGGCACAAAGCGGAAGAAGCAACATGTAGAACATATAAAGGAAAGCAAGTAGATAATACGAGTAATATCGATTTTTCTTTTTTTCCAAAAAATAGTAAAATTATATTAATTCGATGACCAGATTATATTATAAATATGGTCTTTGTATAATTACACATCAACCATTTAATCTCTTTCAACGACACGAGGAGTGACGTCACCAGGCCGAATCCAACGGGCGTGACGCGGACAGCACTGCGGTGTGCCGACGCCGCCAGCTCATTCCCCACTTGCCCATCCCGCCGATCCCGTCCCCGGTGAGCCTACGCAAGTCACCGGAATCGATCCGGAAAGATCTGAAGCTTTCCCGATGCCACGACGGAAGACACGAGAGCCTCGTCCTCGCTTACGAGCGTTTCCTCTGACGCCTAATTCTTCTTTGGATCAAAATGGGAGAAGAAAGAGAGGAGCAGATGAACAGAGATTTCTTGCTTGGAATTCCATGGGATTACTACGACATAGCTGAGTTGAGTGCGCCATGAATCACCCAAAACGAGAAGGAAGGAAGGAAGGAAAAAAGAGGCTGCTTTGCAGCTAAAATTCCAATCTCTGTATACAACACCGTCGGAAATATCCTCCCAACCCCAAAAACACCAAAGAATAAAGACCCAAAATTTAGATGAAGAGAAAGTAGATCTCATACCAGTAAGAGCAGCATTAGATAGAGCGACGCTGTACAAAACAGAGCAACCTCTTCGCGGCCGTCCGCCCCTGACGTGACATCTTCCCTGACGCCCGGTGGCGACGACATACTCGCTGGCGGTGTGTCCACCTCCTCCGCCCCCTGCGGCGCCAACTCCGGTGGCTGCGGCGCGGCAGCCACCGCCTGCATCGCGCCGCTGGTCTCCCCCGTGAAGATTTCCCTTGGCAGTAGCACTTTGGAGACGGCGAATATGGCCACCGGGTTCTGGTCGAACACGGTGCGGGTGATGGACGCCTGGACCACGCCGGTGTCGATGGCCACCGAGCCGTTGACGCGGGTGATGTTGAGGGTGAAGCGGCCGGCGCCGGTGTCCGCGGTGGCGAGCGTGGGCTGGACGGGGTTCACGATGGACTCGAGGGAACCGAGGGGATAGTAGGACTGGAGCACGTGGAAGCGGAGAACCACCGCCTTGCGATCCGCCGGCAGCGACTGCAGCCGCTCGGTGACGGGGAGATCCGCGAAGGCCTCGTCCGTGGGAACGAAGACGGTGATCCCGGCGCCGCGCTCGGCGGCCTCGAACTCCGACGCGACGCCCGACGCCTCGAGCATGGAGGCTGCCACGTTGAAGTCGCGGCCATCGACGAGGACCCGGGTGATGTTGACCCGGACGGAAGGTCGGGTCTCGGAGGCGGCGAGGTCGAACCCATAAGGGAGGAGGAGCGCGTCGACGGCGAAGATGGAGACGTTGTAGGGGAGGGTGCCGACGAGGTCGAGGACGGTGGCGTTGGAGGCGGAGAAGGGGAAGGGCGAACGCGCAGTGACGGCGCCTTCGTCGTCGCGGGTGAGGTTGACGGCGCCGAGGTTTCCGGCGGCGCGGCCGGTGGTCTGGTAGAGTGTGGTGACGAGTTTCCCGCCGGCGGGGATGCTGCGGAGGTCGGGCCAGGAGAGGTACTCGAGGAGGACGTGGTAGCGGAGGACGTCGGCGATGTCCGCGGCAGCTGCGGCACGGGCGGCGGAGGAGCGGAGGAGGTAGGCGTTGGGGACGGCGAGAATGGTGAGGGAGGAGCGGCCGGCGAGGTCACCGGGGACAGAGGTGGATCTGAGGAGGCGGTTGAAGTCGGAGAGGTCGGGGTAGGCGGAGAGCACGGCGGTGATGTTAACGGACGTGGACACGGGGGGGAATATAAGCAACAGGAAAAGGAGGAGAAGCCGGGCAGGGGCAGAGTGGGGAATACGCAAATGTGGGTGGAGAGGAGGAAGAGGAGGAGGTGGAGATGATGCGCCCATTCCAATTAGCTGCACTGTCTTCCCCCCACCCCACTCTCCTCCCCAGTGTGAGCGAGAGAGAGAGAGAGAGAAAGAGAGAGAGAGTGAGAGAGAGGGAGGAAAGTAGATAGAAATATGTGGGAGATGATGATGAGGATTATATATTAATGTATCATATTTATTACAATAATAGTTTAACCCCACGAGATTTAATGTGAGAACGTGATCGGATCAGTTCGCGGTACGTTCACCTCCAGTGCACCACTTTGCATGTCCGATGACCGTCGCCCAGGCAGGAGGAGGAAAGGTTCGTCGGGTGAGCGGTGGTGAGACCGTCAGCGTGGCGCCTAGTAAGGTGTACGTAGCGTTGGACGTGATCAGCGATTCGGTACAAGGCTTCGAACGCGCATCGCGAAGCGAAGGCCAATGGTCGCTCGACACGCTTCGCGTTGGCTATGATGGGAAGTGCGATCTGGCCGTCATGCACGTGGTGATCGTGAGAAGGCGAACACGTGGCGCTTCGGCGATGTCGCTTTAAAAGCAGTAGATGGGTATGTGCAACGTTTGTGGTACGACTACAAAATTAGTAATAGTATTAAAGAAAGATATAAAAATTACGCAGCGGTAATTAAATAAAGAAAATATGTGGGGGGGGTACGGATTACTCTTTTGGAGCTTCGGCGGAGGTGGACGACACGGTGGGACCCGCGGGGGTCGTCTTTTATCATCTGCGGGCAGCTGCCATCGCATGTCACGCAGCTGTTTCGACGTCGACCCGTCTCCCTCCCTCCCATCTCCTCATTCTTCGTCGTGTTCTTCGCGGAGGCAATAATTAATGTGTGCCGGGTGGTGAGTGAGGACCAGACAGAACACACACACACACACAACACTCCGGTCCAGCAGCCTCCACGCCAGCCTAGCAGCGGCAGTGACAGTTCTTCCAGAGCAGTTGGACCCCACACTGACCTTTTCCAAGTATCAGACCTTCAGCATGGCTCAAAAGATCAGTTGAAAGAGTACTTGCGTCAAAACATTCTTGAGTGGCAAATTTATGAGTAAACCATTCGGTATACAGTTGACTGTTAAAAATAAATTACAATGAAAAATTAGCATCTCACTCTATTTTGAGAGTGGCGGGGACGAACGAGACCGAGTCGGAGTAGCATCATGTTATAGGTGAGCTGAGTACCTACTTGTTTTGGGTTCCCCCCACGCCCCCTCTTTATCGCAAGAACAGGGGCTGGGCCCCGTCCCTCACCAGCCTTGTTACAGAGAAGCATTGGCTTCCTGAATCATCATGGACAGATGGTTGGGGACAAAGGTCAAACCTTGAATCAGAAGAAATCATGGAGCAACATCGAAACAAGCTCCGAATTTGTAAATGTACAACAGAGGCAAACTGTTGTGTTTAATCATCACAGATATATAAATATACATGTATATATTGACCAAAATGAACGCACGCGTTACATAAAACTTTCTACAAGCACGGTACAGATGTCCCGACCCACATGCAAAACTTCCCTCGAAACGAGGGACTCCTCTGGTTGCCGGGTGCCCACTCGTGTCCGACACACGCAGTGTTGTCACATTTTGGGTCAAACGAGCAGTGGTACAAGACAACATAGAATCCATAAACTAATGCTGTATCGATCATATAGCGGGGATCCTTCTGTAAGCAAAGCATGTCTGTCACTGAGTAGATGCAGGTTTGTCATGGGGGTGCTTCTGTTTGATCGCTCAGCGATGCTGGTTGGTCAAAACAAGTACATCAAATTTTGAATCTCCTGTGGACAACCAGTTAAATGTGAAGTTACTTTCTGACACATGTACAACAACTGCAAGATAACATCAGTTTCACTAACCTAAATCAGTATGTCTGTCAATGGGCAAATGGCAGTGCAGGACCTGACTTACCTCTTTAAACTTCCCTTACTGAAAGCACATCATCACGTGGATGAGCTTCATCTATGGTAACTTTTATCTCATCACCAACCTTTTTCCCGTCTGAAACAATCGCGATAGCCTGAACCCCGACCTGCAAAAGCCATTTGCCAGGAAGAGAGTGAGCAAGACACAATCATCCCCCTTTTAACAAATATGAACCAAACCATGAGTTGAATTTTTGCAAGTGCCGACGCTCGAGATAAGAACAACAAATTACCTGCCCAGATTTCCAGAGGAAAGAAACTTGAAAAACTATCATGCAATTAGCATATACCAAAATTTACCAAACTGTCTGCTATTTGCCTGTTAGACGGAACCATGATTACGCTTTTGATTTAGGATGGTTCATTTGTTTGCTCATTGATGATTATTTATACTGGAATTAATCTGATGAAGTATACCTCTGTGTAATTCTCTTTACCCAACAGAAGGTTTGCTTCCATAGACCAATAATATGTTCTTGGGGAGTTAGAGGCTAATAGAGAAGATTGGAAGCATGTAACGACATTCCGATGGTATGACAGAACAAAAACAACCATGGTGACTAGTTGCTAATTTGCAGATTCCAAAATAGAATTTGTATACTTTAACTGGCTGTTGCATGGTCAGAGCTCACGTTGCAAAAGACAACTCTGACAACATGACAAGGAATCTAACAAGAAAATGCAAGATGAATACGACAGGTGCACTCGAATTTTGACATTCCAGAACTTATCACACTGGCCTTGATGATATTAGTGGAACTATTTTTCTGATATACTCAAATGCAAATGCAGCAAAATAGTCAGACCTAATATGTGCACTTGATCCTATAGTCAATGAAACTGGCAAACTAACACTATATAGAAGCACAGACTTACCTCCATCAAAAGCAAGGCTGCTGTCCGATCTTTAATGAACCTAAGGATCATTGCAGAAAACTTCCTTTCTCTTTCTTGTCGTCTCAAATACTCCAGTAACCAATATCTTAAGCTGTTACTTTGAAGTCTCTTAGCTACTCTTACATGCATGTTAACAAGACATGCCATTCCCTCCAATTCACCAGCTGAAAATGGTAGAGATTCTCCTCTAATAAAAGCCTTCACCTGTAAAACAAACAACAGTAGCAAGCTAAGATACCCGTATATGTCTAATTGTAGCTGTTAACAAACTTCATCCTTATAACCAAATCTTGGTTCTTCCTCATAACCAATCTGACATCTAACTGCTCAAGAAAAGAGATTATAGAACTTGAAGAACCCAGTGACCTGTCTCATCTACAGGTATCAAGTAACAATAGTGTGGAAAGTTGAACAGAACCATCAATGGATGCTTCCAAATGACTAATTTGCTAACGAGATACATTTGATACAAAGAACATACCTGATAGTGAGCTAGAAGATCAATATATCTACGGATTGGAGATGTAAACTGCACATAACCAGGGAGTCCCAATACTCCATGGCTTATAGGTTTCCTAAAGTTCATTTCTGCGGCACGCATAATTTTTAGGTAAGCAGCACTTCTAGCAGGTCCTTCAGGGAGATGAGAAAATGCTGATGCCGAGATGTTTGATTGGGGCTGGCCTCTGTAAGGCAACGAAATGTTGTTGCAGGAACCAAATGTGGCTACAACTTCCCCACAGAGTATCATCATCTCGGATACAAGACGCATAGCGGGATTTGATTGATCTTCAACATACAGAGTTATAGATGGTTCAGGATCATCAGGCTTTGCCACCTTGATTCGTGGGTCTATTGTCGCTGTGTCTATCGCACCCTGTAAATTTAGTTGGTCAATATAATCAGAGAGAAATAGGTCCAAACAAGAAAAGCCCTAAATAACTCCAGTAATATTGCCATAGAGTGCTTACACAAGAAAGGATTTGTAAGAATGGACCAGATGAGATATCATACAGCTGATAAAAGATTTATGCCTGGAATGAAACTGTTTACTCAGTTTCTGGTATAGGAATTAACACTAGGGCCAACTAGGTCACTTGGACATTTAGTTCTGAATAAAAACTAGAAACAAGGTGGCCAAAAGTTACAAGTAAGAAACTACAATTTCAACAACAACAACAACAAAGTCATAAGTCCCAATTATGTGGGGCCGACTACATGGATCTTTTGTTGCCAGATCTGTAAAAAGTCATATGTTTAGTTGAGTTAAATCTTTATTTATAATTTCTATTAAAGTCTTTTTAGGACTTCCTCTACCTCTCCTCGTACTCCTTATGCCACTAACATTAATTATTTTACCTCTTTTAACTATCGCATCCAAAGATCTCCTAAGCATATAATCATATCATCTTAAATGATTTTCTTTCATCTTATTCTCTATCGAAGCGATACATAGTTGTTCATGAATAAATTTTTTTTTTTTGCTATCTTTCCTAGTAACTCCATATATTTATCTCAACATTCTCACCTCGGTAACACAAACATTTTGTATATATTTTTTCTTAATTGTCCAACACTCAGATCCATAAAGTATTTTTGGTCTCACAACTATTTTACAAAAATAATCCTTTTAATCTCAAAGGCATCCGATGATCACACAAGGCTCTTGATGCCCCTCGTCATTTTAACCATCATATTTATAGTCTATGAATAATATCTTTATCGATCTCTCCATCTTATTAAATAATTAATCCAAGATATCTAAAGTTATTACTTAAAGTGACTTCTTGCCTATCCAACTTAACTATATTCTCTGGCCTATTTCTATAATCACTAAAATTTCATTTTATATCTTCAATTTTAGTCCTACTTAATCTAAAACATTTAATTTCTCTAACTTGCCTCGATAGCTCAAGTTTATAATTAATTCTACTTAGATTATCATCAACTAAAATAATATTATCAACAAATAGCATACACCAGAGAGGTCCATCATGTAAGTGACTCATAAATTTTCACTAAATTAACGAACAATCTTTCAATACTGTGGTTATGAATTTTCTTTATAAGTTTACAGTTAAAAGCTTACATCAACCAACTACATTATCAAGTGACTTGATGCAACAAGATTTACAATAATGTAATGACTAATCAACACAATTAGAAATTAAAAACAAATCAACAATCATGAGTTGTAATATCACATGGTAGTATCCCACCATAGTGTAAACTCTGTGCATAGTTCAAAATTGACCTTTAGGTTTCACAGTGCTGGATGTCCTCTTAACTAAACCTAATTGGCATGTAGACC